ATTCTTACCACAGTAATTTGAGACTTGCTTCAGACTTGCACATATGTGACTTACTCCCACCTTTGTAAGTCTCAGCGAGTTTTGCACATCTGGATTTGGACAGTTTTTCTTATTCTTTCTGGCAGATCCTCTCAAATCAGACTTGTCTTAAAGCCACTGGTGTGTTGGTTGTGTGCTTCAGGTCATTGTTGTGGCAGTTCTTGTGCTCCTCCTTTATCAATTGTAATCTCCCTCCGCGATGGCCGTCCCTGGTAGGCTAGTGGTTAAGGCGCAGCACTCTCGCCGCTGCGGCCTGGGTTTGAGTCAGGGTTGCGTCAGGAAGGGCATCCGGCATAAAACACGTCAATGTCAGCCGAGCCGTCAGTGTGACGATGTGCTGTGGCGACCCGTAAACGGGAAAAGCCGAAAGTGACTTTCTTTTTTTCAATCTCCCTCCACGAGATTGAGCATTGCTGAAACTATACACATTGCAACATAATACTTTGGATACATAAGGATAACCCCCCCACACACACGCGCATACACACACACACATAGCACTGCACTGAGAACGTATGGAGTGTACTAAAGTTAAACTTGCTGCCTCTTGCTACATTTGAAGAAATTGGTTACTTTGTTAGGAAACTTACAGGGCCCATGCCATGCTTTTCCATGTTTTTTCACTTACCTACAATGTTACAACGTCTGAGACATGACCTAAAGCTCAAAAAATGAGGTGTCCGTATGAGGTGGACGTATGTTCTAGTACTTGTATGCAGAAGCAACTTCGTTTACACAAGTCTCGCTTGCAAGACCTTTTTTCTAACAAAATAAAGTATTACTTGATAGTTTAAGGATTTCCTTGAATGGTCATAATCTCCAGGCAGTTGTGCATTCATGTGAGCTTGCCTGACATCCACCAGTGCCACTGGTGGAATTTTTTGTCTGTGCCCTGTTTTGTGGATATAGTTTACCTCCTGCTGCTGCACTGTGACCAGAGGATGTGGAGAAAAACACAGGGCCTGAGGTTACTGCATGTCCAGGAATGTTCCTGTACAGGGACTCATTGTTTTACCTGACCAGGTCTAACCTACAAACAACTGGCCAGTGAAGCAACCTGGGGCAGTGAACGATCAGCTCATCAACGCTGGATTCCTCCAGAGCACAGTACCTGTTTGTTTTGACTGCTTGAGGCCAGTATGTGGTGTTGCTGGTTAACCAGCGGATTCTACTGATCCATGATCTTATTGTCAGTGCTACGCTACCTGCTGAAATTAATTTCACTACTTTGGGACTGTATATGGTCATGTGGGGGAAGATGTAATGACCACCGGTTGGATTTACCGACCTTGGAGCTACTTGTAAGTGAGTGATGTTTCCACTCTTCGGTGGGACTTGCAAGTAAAAAAAAACAAGCACACGTTGCATGTCTGTTAATACATTGTTTCTGTAATATTAGAGAGAATTGTAAGGCTGGAGAAGTTACTATGTCTGTATTATGCCAGTTCAAATATGAGGTTTCTCAATTACCCACTTTGTTCAGAGTGTTACACATCTCTTTTCATCAGTACATATACCATTTTTTACCTATCTATGGAGCAGAAATTTAAATTAATTAATGTTGTTGTGGTTCATTCTGCTGTTCACTTTTGATGCAACACCGGCAGCAGGAGTTGTGCGCATTCACGAACTATCCTCTCGTTTTTAGGTAGAGGGTCTCTGGTTTTATTGTTATGAAACAATTACAGACTATTTGGAGTCATGAGGGGTGCCAAGCTAATCTAGAGGTGCCCAAGATTAATCATTAAATGGCTGGAAATGAGCATGCCATGAGCTGTTTAAACACAGTCCTAGCATTCTGAAACCTCCATTTGAAGTCTGCAACAACAAGTTCCTCTTCTTCCCATTCAGTATCAGACTTTGGTTCATGTATTTATACACAGCCTACTGTCTTGTGTTTCCAGCTTAAGTCATTACACAAGGTAAAGATTGACCATAAGAGGACTAGCATTATTCATTAATTGCTGTCCCGATTGGCTGGGGGTGAACATTGGTCATCACCTTCAGCTACTCAGAATTGGTGCTCTTGAATACTGTGAACAAAATGTCAGTAATATGTTTAAAATGCATTCAATGTTTATGAAAAAATTGGTCAAAAAGGCCTATACCAGCTCTTTAACTTGTTAACATGATGGTTGGTGACACAGAGGTTGTGGATGCAAATCCTGTCTGTATGGTTCATACTTTTTTCCTGATAAAAGGACAAATGTTCACAATTGTATTCTCAGAAAAAGAGTGGGAACAAGAAGAAAGAAGGTAGGTAGATAATTACAAAATAAGGAAGGAAAGAAGGGAAAAAGAAAGGAAGGAAGGACAACAGAAATAACAGACAGCACTCAGAGAGTGCAAACCTTTGCCAAGGCAGATCAGTTTCTGTCAGGATCGGAGCGTGAAGCTGCCGATAATGTTGTGGGTGAACTCAAATAGCCAGATGAGGATAAGTAAAGAAACACCGTCTCTTTAATAAGAGCACTGACAATGAACAAAAAAACAATACAAGACACGGGTTAAGCACAAAACACACTTACAGGTCGATAATACAGTCCAAGGTCAGAACCAGCAAACACATACATCCAAGGAATCCAAAACGCGTTGTCCAAAAGGGAAGTCCGATAAGCCGATATACAGAGAAGCAGTCAGAGTTAGAAGGGCAAGGCAATACACGGTGGTCAAAAACAGAAATCCAGGGTCAGTAACTAGAGAGTCAGGCAAGGATTAATGCTGGAGAATCAGAGCTGGAGTCTAGAACAATCTGGCAGGGAACTGGTGGGGGAAGGCTGCTTATAATGGGGTGAAAAACAGGTGTGATCAATGAGGAGCAGGTGAAACTAATGTGAGTGATGATTAAAGTAAAAAGTCCGAAACTGTGGTGAAACAAAAACAGGAAGTAAAGTCAAACTAAGAGCACGACAGGAAGCAAATGGAACCGAATCATGACAAGTTTTCACATAATGCTGTGAGGCAGTATTCCCAGGATAGTTTGACCATTGCATAAAGTCCTTGTGTGGAGGTGGAGCCGCGTTTGTGCTCTTTAGAACGTAAAGGCTGTGAAAATATTGGAAAATTAAATTTCATTTCTTTGATTCACTGCTTTGTTTTACTAGTGTCTCTGCCCTTCATTTAAACACTAGCTTGCTTGACCGCTGCTCGTTCGCTCTGTTGGTGGGGAAGATTTAGAACACAGGCAGTGAAATTTGGGCACAAAGATAAAATGAATGACTCTTAGTTATGGCTTGGATCCCTTCGTTCTAAACAAGCAATTGAATAGAATGTAACTAGAAAATCAACAGGCCTGTGCTGCAGTTCTATTGAGTGTCTAGTGTTAGCTGCCATGTTGGAAGGCTTTTTTGCTTTCCAGGGCTCGATAGCAGTCAGATGACTGACTGAATGCTATGAATTGGCCCTATGTCACAATGGTGAAGAATCCTTTAAAACATTTCTGTATCTAGATGACGATACGGATCAGCACCAGTTCCATGGGACATACCCCACCTGCCAAATAATTTCATGAAAATCCATTGATTACTTTTTGAGTTATTCTGTGAACAAACCAATAAACAAAGCAGCAAACTCTGGCAAAAGCATTACCCCCGCCCTTGGTGGAGGTAATAAAAAGGAAAAAAACAAATTAAGAAGGGAAGAGCAAAGAAAGAAAGAAAAGATACAATGGAGAAAAAGAAAGGAAGGAATAAAGATGGATTGCTTGACGGATTTAGAAGCTACAGTAGTTAGGGAAGCAGAAATGGAAAAGTCTGTGCTCTCTGTATCTGATCCTTACATTTTTTTTCTTCTTCCAAAAATGGCACAAGCACTCTGTCATTGACTGACCACACGCACATGCATGTAGAGTATGTGTGTACATTCACACAGAAACAGTGTGTCTTTGCAGTGTGCTTTGTGTTTGGTTGGTTTTACTTTCAGTGTGTGATGCTTCTCTAGTATTTAGTCCAGCAGTCAGCAATTTATAGCTGTAATTACAGACCGTCAGAGAAAGAGACGGGCGTATGAGTTTTCATGCTGTGGCTTACACACACACACACACACACACACATACACACACACACACACACATAAAAATGTGTGTGTGCCTACTCTTGACATATGATGGTGAATATATTAATATAGAGATTAATCACTGTTTTGCACTGTTTCTCTCATGGCCTTTGACATTGTGTTACAGTAGCACAGTCAATTTGCTATTAGTTCTAAACACAAAGCACAGCTGAGGGTGATGCAAGTATTTGGTCATATGCTACACTTTTCAACAAATTAATGTTTCCCTTAATGACACTGTTATATGAAAAGTAAAACGATCACCAAATGCCACCTGCTCAGCTCCAAACAACAGACAGAGCCACAGTAGCTTGTGAACACAGTGGAACTAAAGAGCCAGCTGTTTCCCTCGGGAGTTGTTGGAGACTGAAAACAGAGATAAAGAGAGTGAATGTTGTACTTGCATCCCATGGACAATAACACAACTCCCAGTGAATGCAGTTGTTGTTACCCCATATCTGCAGAATGGGAACTAAGAACATTTGCTGTATCAACTTCTTATCAAAACTACTATTGTCATGATTGTAATCATAGCTTGTTTCTGCCACCCCAAGTTAATAGTTCTTTACTTAAAGGGCTTGTATTTGCAGATTGATATTATGCAACAAAACACACATGAATGGCATGACAGTGATTTACTGAAACAGCACTTTGAGACTTTCCAAACTGTAATGAGCCCAACTGTTTAATTATTGATAAAACAAAGACTCACAATTGAGCATTTGTGACTCTCATTAAGAACTGTCGCTCTTGTATGGACTGTGTATAGAAGATGTTTTTGCAGTTCTGACTGTGGCCACAATGGCAACAACACCTGACAGGTAATGCTGTAACTGATTAAGACAAATAAAAAAATACTGTATAATGGACCTCTTTTCCTCTCTATCTCACTCTCTGTAACTCTCCAGGTGAAGATGAAGAGTTAGGACCTCCTCCCTCAGTAGATGAGGCAGCTGATGCTCTGATGACCAGGCTGGGCTTCCTGCTGGGGGAAAAGATAATCAGTGGAGAGCCGGGGTCACCTTACCATGCTCAGGATGATGGACAGGTAAAAGAAAAGAGGCACACATACAGAGGCACATATTCACACAATGTAGCCTAACTTGCAAAACACCAGTAAAGAGAGAATTTTGATTTTCCTGTTGCAAATTCAGATTTCTGAAATGTATTCAGCCATACTGTCATTTTTCATTGGGTTGTGGTTATGTTTTATGGTTTTCTGTAAGTAAGTATTCCTGTTATTTTGTCCCTTTCCTTCACCGTAGTCTTTCTAGATTATTCTATACCAACACACTTAAGTTGGGAAACAAAATGCCCGCTTTGAAATGAAACAGGAGAGGTAGCATCTGGACATCAAGGGCCACGACACATCAAGCCTACTGTTGGCCATCAACCACTGTCAGACCATTGTTTGAGCATCTGTCAGGGCTATTTTTCCCAGTGTGTCGCGGAACTCATCGGACCTACTCCTTGGCTTTTTGGCTGATTTGACATGTTGAAGTGCAGAAGTGCCAAAACATGCAGTTTCTTGAACAGCCACTTGAGGCTGGCTCCAAGAGGGAGTCAATCCCCATGGACCGCTATGTTAAAATGCCTGACTTGACCTCAGAAATTAACGTTTACAGCCTACAAAAACAGTTTTGGTCTCTGTAGCTAATTTCTCCTTCTGTTATGCTTCCGATACTCTTTATAGATACTAGTTCTTCTTCTATCTCTGCTAGCTCTTCTCCTTCCCCTTTCTGAATGGTGAACACAGATACTGCCACCCGCTGGTAGGGCAAGTTATTTGTGTCATGCAAATGCAGAACATACATGCTAGTTGGCCATTGGTTGTAGACTGTGCGGTGTGTTCAAGTGCCACTTTTTTGACCTGACTGGCCCAGACAAAGGCGACGGGAGGTGACACGACAGGTGGTCCTCGTCGCTGCTAGTTCTTTCATGTCAGCTTTTTGTGTCTCTGCCCTAAGGTGAATAGCCATTCACCTTCTTGTAATCCTAGCTGTCTCATGTTATTCAAGAACTCAGTTGAATCTTGCAGCTATGATGGGAGATATTTAACTACAAGGTGTACATGATAGTTAATGAATCTCAGTTATGAACCAATGGAACCAGCCCTGGAATAGTGAAGTGTAAATTTTTAAACTGTATTTTAGATAGTGCCTAAATTACTGTTGTAATGCAGATTTCTTATATATAAGAAAGCCAGGATGCAGTCTCCTCTCTTCTCCGCAGAGGATCTCTCCGTCCTCCAGTCTGGCCAGTAGCGGCACCTCCCCCTGCTCTACAATGCAGCCTCCTGCTGGGGGAGAGGCCAATAACAACAAGCATGCCTCCACTAACCACGCCTCTGTCACCTCCCCTACATCGACACTAGAAAGCAGAGACAGTGGAATCATAGGTGAGAGACTGTAGATGTGCTTTCTTCAAAAAATAAATGCTTACACTGCTAAATGACCACCGTGCTCTGTCTTCCCCTCACTGTTTCTATCAGCCACGTTGACCAGTTATTCTGAGTCGGCAGCAGAGCAGAACGACAGCACCAAGTGTCCTGGAGATGGTTACCATGGCGGTAGCCTCAGCCTCTGGCAGGAGGGGGGCTGGCCAATGGTGGCCTCCACCTCCTCTTCCTGTATGGTAGTGAAAGGAAGCGTATATGATGGCTTCCTGTACAGGGAGGATGACAAAATGGCTGCCTCCACTTACAGCCTCAACAAACTCCACCCAGACCAAGGCCCTGGCTCTGCCCGGTCTTCAGGCTCCACCAGCTCCATCCCTGTCTACCTCATGCCTCGCCCTAATTCCGTTGCTGGTAAAATGACAAACGAGTGATGTGAATGTGTGTGTGTGTGTGTTAATCAAGTGTTTTCCAGCCCAGTAGCGTGCTCCCACACACACTTTCCTGTCAGGAAAGACAAATCTTTTTCAAATCCCTCTTTTTCAACTATAGTGAGATCAATAGTGATACTGAGCATATAAAAGCATAGTGGTAACTTCCATGGTAATTGTTCTCTCTTGGTTTAACACAGGACTTTTCATAAACACAGGCAAACATACAGTTGGTTTCCTCACTATCAACCTGTGAAAGATGGGTTTACAGTAGGTGCCTATTGATTGTGCTCAGGTTAGGTTGATTGGTGTCTCTAAATTGCTTGTAGGTGTGAGTAGAGGGTGAGCTGTACAGGGTTTACCCAATGTCAGCTGGGATTGGCTCCAGCTCCCCTTGACCTTCTTCAGGATAAGTAGTATAGATAATGGATAGATGGCTAGATAGGTGCAACTGAAACTATGCCCAGTGTAGCCATTTTTATTAGAAAATAAAATATTGAAAAACTATTAAAGCTGCATTACTCAATATTTTTATCTTAAAAATGGATTACAGGACTATGTGTAATATGAAAGAGGTCAAAAAACTACAAAGAATTTTCCACCTAGCTCCACATCTCCTGTACAGGCCAGTGATTTGCTCTGGTTTGATGGCCCACAGTTTTGTTATTTTGACTCCCACCACTCTCATTGGCCTAATATACGCCACATATAGCTATGTAACAAGATATTACTGTTCACTGGTTCAGTAAATAAACAACTGTCTGCTCAAACATTGGCAAACAAACTCATCTCAGTGATAACATATCAATGTTGTGGTTACAGCTTGGCCTGCTGCCCCCAAGTGACCAAAAATTAAAGTGTTTGCTGCTTTAATTAGGGCCCAGTTAATAATGCATTGTGGTTACAAACTTTAACAGCCAATCATTTCCATCTTCATGCACTGTTAACTTTAGTTTATTTTCCATTTAACTTTAGCAACACATACAGCTTTATGCCTTGTTTACCTGCTTCCACAGGGTGGGCCACGGAAAAGTAGCCTGTGCACTCGAACGTATTGGAGGTGGGCTGCTTTTCCATGGCCCACCCTGTATATAGGAAACAAATGAGAACAGATGTCAGTTGTCAGTTTATTTCCCATATTCAGCCTAAACCTAATGGAATAATTCAACATTTTTACACTCATATGTTTCCTTTCCAAAAGTCAGATAAGAAGGCTGGTACCTGTTTATGTGTTAATCTACAGTAGATTAGCAGTGAGACTGGAAATAACAAAAAATTCCAACCACCACCTCGAACGCTTAGTTATTAACAGTTGTATCTCATCTATTTAATCTGTACACAAACAGAAATGTCTCTGAAAAACAAGGGCAGAGTAAGTGGGAATAGTGAGCTCCATATCCGTATATGTATGTATACAAAACTGCTGGAAAAAAAAAAAAATAGACGCCTAGGCAACGTGTTCACATTTCGTCCTCCCTTTTCCTTTCTCTGTGTCTCATAAAAAACTAAAAACCATGCGCGCCTTTGGAAAGGAAGGAAGTAACATGTATGACGTTTCTCCAAACACACACACACACGCATACACACAGGATGCGAGGCACAGCCAGCTCTGACATGTTCTATGGTGTTAGACAATTGGAGTGATGGGATCGAACTTTTGGTAGGTTTCTGTCTGTTTTTGTCCAGAGTCGAGACAACTCAGAGTTTTCATTTCTGTTTATTAGTGTTCTGTTACCTTTCACATTAACTTTAAAGCAGCTGCAGTGGAAGTCAGACTCTATGCTCCTTGGACAATATCCTACAAGATTGATAGATAAGAAAATGAAGGTAGTTTTGTTGTCTTTCAAAAACTAGTCTTTAACCACAGATTTACATGACCTCCGTTCTTTTCCTTTCAGTGTTTTCAAATCCTGGGTTTTGTTGTGGTTGTATCCTAGTTCTTATTAGCTTTATTGTAAGTCTTAATGCAGTGGTTCTTACGGGTTGAAGTCAAAATCCTGGACACCATTAAGCACTAAGATCAAAAACCACTGAATTTACAAGTTGTACAGATATTTACATATAACGTCACTGTACAGTTGCCAGGCAACCCGAGGAATCAACAGGAAGTCATTGCTTCAATGCCCAGAAATAGTTTGGCACAAAATTTAGCTTCCACTCACCATTAGCAGCATAGACAACAGATTTTTACACACACAAATTTGAATCAAAATGCACACATTGATTCATAGTTAACTTCTCTATTTATGTATACATTATTGTTCCTTTTGACTTTTTATCTAATAACCAGGTTTTTTTTTTTATTGCATCTAATGATCTGCAACACAACGGTCATCCTCAGGAGTCAGTGCTCCATTAGAGCTGTGAGGACATTTTTATTTTCAGAAGATCAAATGAATGGCAGTTTGTTTTCCCACCTCAAATACAGCTCTACTACCATATATTGTCTGTTTATTGTCTAATGACTTTGAAAGTAAAACAGACAAGTGTAATAACTATCAGCATACATTACATTTTCTGCATTTTTTGGTTAAAAAGAATATTTAATATATGATGAGAAATCAGGAGAAGATTTATTTCTATAATTTTACAACCACAGAAAACTCATCAGCCTTTGTTTATTCTCTCTGTAGCCACTAGTTCTGCCCATCTTGAAGATCTAGCCTATCTGGATGATCAGCAGAGACGCATCCCTTCAAGGACATCCCTCAGAATGCCCAGGCAGAATTCTGGGAGTCGTGGCCAACAGGACCACAAAGGTAAACACACGCACACACAGAAATAAACACTATAATTTCAACCAGCGGTATTACAATAATTCTCTCTTCCTCACTCCATCTGTAGTTCGTTTCACTCCCTCTCTCAACCTGAAGCCCCTCCACTTTGAGGTTCCTGGTCTCTCATCTGATTGGCTGTTCACGGGCAGGGAGTGGCTCTTTCAGGAAGTGGATGCCTGTCTTCGCAGTAATGACCCAGCAACTTGTCGCGGTGTGGTGATTGTTGGCAACATGGGCTTTGGCAAAACAGCCATCATTTCCCGCCTGGTGGCGCTCAGTTGTCATGGAAACCGCATGTGGCCAAACATTGCCAGAAACCAGACCATTCCCAAACGTAAGTAGAAATAGAATATTATACAAGTCATCTATCGTATTACTGAAAAAATTCTAAATTAATACATCCAAATTTCTTTTCTGTGGTACAAACAGCTAACTTTAAGTTTTAGATATTTGGTATAACAGTTTATCAATATTTTTTAAATATTTTATTACAGTTGCAGAACTTTACATTCATCTGGATGTGCTCAAACACAGCTGCTAGTTTTTAAAGAGCGGTCATCCAGTATGGGCCAGTATAACTTTGACTATACTGAATTTTGACAGCATATTCAAGGTGCCTAAAGACTGATGTGTTAGGAAATCTGCAAAAATATTTACTCTTGCTCATAACATAAGATTCCAGCCCCAGAAACAAAAAGAGGTTCTAATACCAGAAAGATAAAAAAGACCCAATATTGTTTTAGAATTTTTTTTATTGCTTGCTTAATATTATGCAGTTTGCCAGAGGCCCCCCACAGAGTTATTCCAGCCATGGAAACAGTCTTGTTCACTCTTTAAGAAACAGCTGAGTCATCAAGCAGAACCCAGTAAAATGAGCCAGCTTCTCAGCCAACAACCAGATTCATAGCTGAATCAACCACCAGAACATTCATTCAATCATGAAGTGGAAACATTACTCCAAAGCACTATGAATGCAAAAAAGCAGTAGCAACAGTGAAAGAGAGAGATGGTTTGTGTTTTTACATCTTTACTTACATTTAAAATACAGAAAAAAATTCTCTTTACCCTCAAATCCGATGTAGAGCCAGTTTCTTTCTCACATGATTCCCTGGGAAGAGGAGGAGGGGATGAAGGAGCAGGAGGAAGCTGTCCAGGAACTCCAGAAATGAGGAGGAGACAGAAGGAGACACTGGGGAGGCTTGCAGGACAGGTAGCGTTCCCACATTACTCCATGTATATAATGTATTCCAAAATACAGGTATTTGTGCTTCACATTAGCATGTCTCTGTTACACTATGCTACTTTATGCTTAACACACAACTAAGAACATGTTCATTAGTAACCTTTAGAAGAGCCAGGCTACACTAGCTGTTTCCTCCTCTTTTCAGTATATTTACCTACTAAACTAAACTAAACACCTGTTGGCTCCACCTACATATTTACAGTACAGTTGTGAGAGCAGTATCAATCCTCTCATCTAATGCTTGGTTTGAAAGTGTACTGAAGTGTATTTCCCACAGTTCAGACTTTCTTTAAGGACAAAAGCTTGCTTGAGAGCTCCTGCTTTGGCTGCAGAATCATTTAGAGTATATTTGTTATTTTATGATGATGTTACAAAATAGCAAAATATTGTTATCAAGTATTTGATGAGAAGATTGATACCACTGTCAGTGACTGTACAGCAAATATAACACTACTGCCAGTAACTAGTTAGCTTAGCTTAGCACAAAGTTTTGCAAACAGGGAAACACAGCTACTGGAGCCTGCCTCTGTCTAAAGGTTATGTCTGGCAACCAAGAAACATACCAGGAAGTTACCTCTCCTGCCTAAAAATGCATAACTGCCAGTAAAACCACAACTTTTTACACTCTCGTGAAATTAAACACTATATAATTAGTGAGGTTTAGAGATGACTACAGAAGACACTATTTGATTTTATTACCTCTGGACAGAGCCATTTTGGTTGTTTCCCCCATTTTCCACTCTTTATGCTAATTCAAGATAACCTGTTGCTGGTACATTTTCACAGTGGAGACGTAAAGGTGGTTTCAGCCATCTTATTGAACTCTGAGCAAGAAAGTGAATGTCATATTTTTCAAAATGACAAACTATTCCTTTGAACCTGATCTCCAAATATATTTCTTAACAATTAATGAGTTTTCTTGAAAGTGAAACAGCAAAGTTAACCTTAGTGTCATGTTAGCGCAACCTGCTGGTGGTTTATATGGCTGTTACACATCCTGCTGATTTCTAATGCCAAGAGAGATACATTTCAACATAATGTTTCTCTCCAGCTGTAACTTAAAAGACTGATAAAGAAATACACAATAACAAATTCAAGGGATTGCTAAAACATTTCTACTTGTCTGTCTTTGCAGGTAGTTTCATATCATTTTTGTCAGGCTGATAACTGCCACACTTGTCTGGTTCCGGAGTTTGTCCACAACATGGCGGCGATGCTAAGTATGGCCCCTCAACTCTCAGCCTATCGGGAGCTTCTGCTCCGGTCACCACAGCTACAGAGCATGCTCAGTCTGCGATCCTGTATCCAGGATCCAAGCTCTGCCCTCCAGAGAGGGATACTAGAACCACTGGATGCTCTATACAGAGGTACATACAGTAAAGATTCTGCTGTATTCTGATAGTTTCTGTGCTGCAAAACCAGGGCCAGTACTTAATCTGTGATGATATATGTTATTGTTCTCCAGACAGGACGTTGCATGTGGAAGGGGCAGGGCTTATTATTCTGATTGATGGGCTAAACGAGGCAGAGTTTCATCGGCCAGACTACGGCGACACACTTGCTTCCTTCCTGTCCCGAAACATCCAGAAATTTCCTTCTTGGTTGAAGGTCATTACTACTGTCAGGACCAGTCAACAGGTATACACACATGCACACACACACACAAATGCAAACAAACAAAGGGCGACTTCAGTAGAAAAAAAAAAAAGTTGGTGCTTTTTTCAACTATGGGATGTTCTGGTAATTTTTCCTTATATTAAATCTAAAACGGTTGACATGTTCACTGTTTTGCATCTAAAATCACTGCTTATATAGCCTGTCTTTTTGTTGGAGTTTCCTATGTGGTTAAGATATGCCATTACAAATTTGAAGTTTTCAGAATTACTGTCTAAAACCAAGACCACAGATTCCTTAAATTCTCTGAGTTAAGAGAAGGTGATAAGTAGAAAGATATCTCTCCAGAAGTAGGTCCTAGTATAGAGTAAGTGCACCGAATTTTCTTTCTCATGGGTACAAAATCAGCAGGTTGTAGAAGTCTAAAGTTGAAGTCTGTTTAATAAAATGTTGCATAGATCAAATCTGCGGCTCTTCACTGGATTTGAAAATGTTAACAACCCCTGCCAATATTTCCCTAGACAGTGCATGTACCAAATATATCGGTTAGTTCACATCATCAAAGCCGTTCTCACAACATTGGAATCGGGAATGTAATTTTTGTATTGAAAATACAAACAAGTATGGAAACTAATCAGCTCCATAGGCTTATGTTGGAACAAAAGAATATTCTGATCTTAAATTTTCCCTTATCACACAAATAATAATAGGGCCCTATATTAAGTGCTTATTTAAGGCCCTTTCCCTGAGGTTATTGTTTTAAAGAGGCAGCTTTCTACCAACTATTTCAACCAGCTATTATTTCAGCTTGCAAACTTTATGGTAACTGGTCTGGAACAAGAAGTCTGCTTTTGTCTTCCTCTGTCGAGAATCAAGAACCTAGTGTTTAAAAAAACATGGAACATTTTAGTGCTAAACAGTACAAGAGTATGATATAATACATATCTGTTTTGAACAGATTTGAACCTGTTTTGAACTAACTGTTTCTCTCTGTTTATATTTAATAAGGACACCACTTGTTCTTTACCTTTTCACCGCATCTCACTAGACAGGATGGAGGAGAACAACGCCATAGACCAGGACCTGCAGGTAACATGCACACTGACTGGCTGTTTGGATGTCTCTCTCTCTCTCTATCAGTCTGTACATCCATGTGTCTGTCTGTTTTTTGTCAGAGTTACCTGATGCAGCGTATCAACAGCAGCAGTGAGATCCAGAACAATGTGTCGCTGAGCAATGGACGCCTTGACAACACAGCACTGGCCAAGCTGATCAGCCACCTGAAAAGCCTGAGCAGAGGCTCGTACCTCTACCTGAAACTGACCCTGGACCTGATAGAGGGAGGATATCTGGTCCTGAAGAGCTCCAGCTTCAAGGTGAGGAAGAGGTGGGGAAGAAAAGGACAAACAAGAATAGACTGATGGGAAAGAAATGTAGGAAAATGAAGTTGGTCAAGTTATTCATTTATGATAGATACTTAACCACTTTGTAATTGTTTTGTTACTTTGATATTCATTTTGCTTTTAATAAACTACAAATAGATACATTTTCTTAAGAAGTGTTGCTAGCTTACACTGAAAATTACAGGTGTAAACATTAAGCAGGTAAAAGTTGCATGTGAGCTGTTGTATGGAAATTGCAGTTTAAGCATTTAAAGCAGTTGAAAATGATAAATTACTTCTAACTTAGATGTGTAATTACAGTAGTAACTTAGTTATGTACTCTACCAGTGCATCATGTATTTCATTACCAGGGGTGGGCAATTCCGCTGGTCTGCTTGTTTTCCAACTATCCCTGCTCTACCCTTCTGGTTACCTGGATCAGGTGTGTTCATTCAATCAGAAGCTGGAAGATACCATCTTAGATGAAGGTGGAGTGAGGAAAGACAAAGTGAATTGCCCACCACTGAGCTAGACATATTAGGTCGAAGATACAGGAAACAGGCAGGGGCGGAGCCAAGGGGTGGCACTGGCCACCCCTAGAATTTGATTGGCTACCCCCGGTGCCACCCCTGCCAATCAAAATGTGACCTTGTCATTATTAAGTAATGAAAAAATGTTGCCTTAAATACAACTAACATTTTTCTGGTGCTTTGTAATTGATATTGATCAAATTATCTTTAATTTATATCACACAGGCTGCGTGATATTTGTGTTCATTTCTCTGATTGTGTTGTTGTGATGTACTTGGCAATGTCCTCAGCTGGGAGTAAATAAGGAGCACAGGCAGAGTTAGCTAAAGAACCTGTGTCTTTAATTTTTACACAAAATAAATAGTGTGATTCTTAATAATGTATGTTTTATTATTTCATAGAACTAGGGGTTTCATTTAGTTTTTGCAAATGTATTTCAAATGTACCACCCCTCTTTGAGTCTGTGCCCCATCCTGGCAACCCTGTCCAAAATTTTCAAGATCTACCCCTGGAAACAGGAAAACATTATATTTGTGTGTGTGTGTGTGTGTGTGTGTGTGTCTGTTATAGGTGGTTCCTGTAAATCTAGCAGAGGTCTACTTGTTGCAGCTCAACATGCGGTTTCCCACCCAGTCATCTTTTCAAAGAGTTCTGCCACTGCTCAATATTACTGTAGCATCTCTGCACCCAATGACCGACCAGCAGGTACATACTGTGTGCACCTGTGTGTGTGTGTTTCTACCTCAGAATGAATTGTAACAACCTTACCACTTCATCAAGTACTCCTTTTAGGTCAGAATTTTAATGTTTCCAATTTCTTTTTTTTCAAATACCTGCTAAACTAATGGCATTCCCATCAGCCTCAGCTGAACTTTGTGTTCACTGCTAATTAGCAGCTGTTAGCTAATACAATAAAATCTAATGGTGAACATGGTAAATAGTATACCTGTTAAGGTGTGTTAGTTTTTAGCTAAACAACACTGTGCTTAGGTAGAGTCTCACAGAGCTGCTAGGTTGTAGATTCTCAGTCTCGTTGACATATCTGTCTTTGACATACTGACAATGAAACAAACTTGAAATGTGACTGTTCCTCTCCTGTCCTCCAGCTGTTTGAGGTGGTGAATGCAGGCACTCTGAGTGGAGGAACACTGCAGTGGGCGGAATTTGGGCAGCGGCTGGAGCAGCTCTCGTGTTTCCTGCTAAAGCGGAGCGACGGAAGCAGGATGCTAAACCATGCTTCCTTCAGGGAGTGGCTTGTTTGGAGGGAGGAGGGGCAGGATGACAGGTTTCTCTGTGACCCCAGGTACACTGTAGGCAGCCAGGAAGAGAGAGAGCGATCAAGACAGAGAAAGAAAGAGATGTAATTTAGCTTTCTGTTTCTCTGTCTGTCTCCAGGAGCGGCCACACTCTCCTGGCCTTCTGGCTCTGCAGGCAGGAAGGGAAGCTGAACCGACAGCAGATGCTGGAGCTGGGACATCACATTTTAAAAGCACACATCTACAAGGTTAGCTCACACATGCAAAAGGTCATACTTGAATCACACGAGCACAATGATATGATAACTGATGTGATACATTAACATTTGCACTGCACAGCAGGTATGAAAAAATGGCGCAGTCTGTCCTGCTGACATCACATGGCAACAGTTTAAGCTGCTCCAGATACAGTTGATGTATGTAGTTTTTTTAGTTCAGTGGTTTCCAATCTAGGGGCCAGGCCCGTCCAAAGGGTCACAAGATAAATCTGACATGTTGTGAGGTGATTCATGGAAAAGGAAAGAATTTCTGCTACATGAATTTGGTTCATTTTTTGGACTGTTTTAAATCTTTGAATTGTAGAAAATCATCGGGAGTATCATCCATGCATCTGTCTGCTTCTCTTCTATCTACAGGGTCTGAGTAAGAAGCTTGGGGTTTCCTCCTCAGTTCTGCAGGGACTGTGGCTGTCCTACAGCACAGAGAGTCTGAGCCCTGCTCTCTCATCTTTGCGCAATCTCTACACACCTAACATCAAGGTAACATACTGCACACACACACACACATATATCCTTGCTAATACAGGTGAGCTGTAACCTGGCTGTCTACCTGACTAGGTGAGTAGGCTGCTGATTATGGGCGGAGCTGATGTGGATTACCGTAGTGATGTCCTTAACAGCGCCCCCCTGTTGTGTGTCCACTCGCACTTGGGCCACAGTGATGCTGTGGCGCTGCTGCTCGACCATGGAGCTCAGGTAAGCATTGCAGTTCTTCTGAGGATCTCAAAGTTTGTGGTTGTCATACAGTAGAACTAAACTGGCATGTTGATATTTTCTGTACCTGACTTTGAGAAAACATTGTGCTGGGTTTTACTTGGATGACTGCATCAATTTACAGTGTATGTGATGTATTTCTAGGTGGATGCTCAGTCACATGATGGTTTGACTGCACTGGGATACGCTGCTGCAGCTGGACATCTGGACATCGTCACCATGCTGAGTCAGCACAGAGCTAAGGTAGCCCCTACCTGCTATGTTTTATGTTGCTAAAGAGTTAAAGCCACTATGTATAGATTTGAAAAGTGTTGTTTCAAGCATAACAGGACTGAAAGGCTTTTATTTTTAATTACATTACTTCCGTCCTACATAGGCTTATTAAATCATAATTTTGATGCTTGTGATGAATGTCGCCATGCTTTCATTACCCTGTACAGTGCTCTGTACATCAGGGGCATAGGCAGAAATTATATTTTGGGTGGGGCAGTACAAATTGAGCGGGCTAATCTCGTGGGTTAATTAGTCAACATACAAAATATTCACAAAATAACACACACACACACACACACACTGTAGAAACCAAAATGCAATGTAGGCTAATCAATGGATCATAAATGTATAAAAAAAACAACACTGGCTGCATACATCGATGAGGGAATGAGTCCACTTTAAGTACAAAACTCCAACCAGGCAGTGAAACATAAAAATAAAATTCCATTATATTCCAAACAGAGCAAAAATTCCTCTCCTGCTTCAAGTATCTTCCAGGTGTTATACCGAAATCTGTGACCCATCAGATTTTGTGACCACAGGGGTGTTGTTGCACATTTTTATTATTTGTTGTGTCGACAGTGAGCCAGAAGAATAGCATGTATGGCCCCTGCTATACACATTAAATGCAAATTACAATTCTTTACTCAGAAATCATAGATACTTTCTTTATAATGAACAAATCTGCTGTATAAGGCAGGGAGCAATTTAATACATTAACCAAACCAAACTGTGTGAAATCCTCTAGAGTCAAAATCTGAGGTAACAGCTACTAGTTAGCTTTAGCAAGTGTAGTGAGTTTTTGCTGTCATGATTAGTTTGCCTCAATTAGTAATGCACATGTGTACAATTAACTGACATTTCTACAGGTCAGTTCACCAGAAAGGATGTTTTTCTATTTACAGAAATTAGCTAGAATTACCGCTTTATGGTTGTATGCCTCCACCAACCAGGAATGGGACAGATGTTAGGTCAGTGTGAGCTTGACCTTCGGCCACAATATCTAACCAGTTCATCCTTGAATCCAAGTAGACACTTGCGCCAGTGTCACAGGTTGAGCGTTAAAGACCCAAATGCAGGCACAAAATCAGAGCATAGTAGTCAGAAGCAGAGTTCAGTAAAACTATTGATGTGGAAAACTGACAAAGAGGAAATATTAGATAATCAGGTAACCAAGGCAAATGAATAATAAACTGAAGGGAAGAGACTAAAACAAGCAGAGAAATGCTCTTGAGACAATTATACCAAACAATACAACACAAGAAACAAAGGAAAGCTCAACCTGACTATATAAACAAAAATATCATTGCAATACAAGGAGAATGGCAACGGGAAAACTGTCAGGGAGCAGACCAACATATACTAAGAACCACAAGGGGAACTAGAACCAGACTGACATATACCAGAGTCTATGAAGGGGCAGAGTCCAAGCAGACTAAATTGAGAAAAACAGATGAGGACAAAAGCAGGTGGTGATAACAGGTGGAGATACGCAGATGGACCAGCAAAGAACTGAGGAAGGTGAGGTGAATATAACGACACGCCAGGCAGCAGCCGTGACCAACAGATGTGAATAATCAAAGTTAATGAATGGTCAGAATAAATCTGGGGCAGAGGAGGTAGCATGAAACAGGACATATCTTCAAAACAAAGGTCTCTGCGGATCATGGCTGCCAAATTTGAAGAAATTTGCTCAAGGCTTTTTCTGAGATGTCACATTTCACGAGACGCGGATGGACAACCTGAAAACACAATGCCTCTGGCCACTGCTGTCGCTGGCATAGAGGCATAAAAATCAATAAGTAAATTTACAGTAGTCATAGTTATAGCTGAGGCTAGCACTAGCTAGTGTTCACTTGATATGATGTAGCTCTGGCTTTAGCTGTGTAATGGGCTTCTGGGCTTTTTAATGCTTTATTTACAGTACATTAATACTTTTTATAGAATAAAACAGATGGCAAACAGTCAGATTTGGGTCTGGTATTAACTGGACCTTGACAAAAAATGTAGCTATAATGTTTTGACTTTGTAGGGCAGAATATATATATGAGATGTATATGTATTACATTCTCTAACATAGTGTGCACTAAACAAATGTTATAACACTGTTATAGTAATGTCATAGCAGATTTGTCAGCTGGAAACAAACTGTGTGACAGAACTAATTAAGAGGTAGTACATAGTAGTATATATATCATTAATTTGAGCTCAGTGTATTGTGTGTGGGTGTGTATGTGCGCGTTGAGATAAGGTTAAAGTGGTGGTGGCACTGTGGCAAAACACACTTTATACTGTTTTCCACTGCCTGTGCATTGCTTTGCAGTGTTCTAGATACATAGGACACTGCTTCTAAGACTCTGTCTCTCTGTGTACTCAGGTGGGTCATGTTGACAGCTCAGGTCAGTGTGTGTTGGTGCATGCAGCTCAGCGGGGCCACCTTGAGGTGCTGCACTTCCTGTTAAAGCGTACAGACTGGAGCTGCACTTCCTGCTGCGACCAGAGGGGGGTGAGCAGGAGCCAGGCGGTGCAGCAGGCTCTGATTGCCGCAGCCAGCATGGGCCATACAGAGGTCGACTACACACACACAAACACCTTTATCATGTTGTCTGTTACAGAATTATGGAAGTATATTTACAATGTGCCTGTGTTTGTGTGTGTGTAGATAGTGTCATACCTCCTGGATCTTCCAGAGGAAGACGAGGAAGAGGAGGAGAGACCTGAGATCAATACATCTGACAGTCTATGGGGAGAGACAGGTACGACACAAACTGCCTACTGCAGCTACACAACAAATACTCATAATAAATGATTATCACTACAATGTGTGTATATGTGGTTCCTCCTTGTCATTTGGGCTGCATTCAAAGCACAGAGCTCTCATTTCATTAAGTGATGTTTTCTAGTCCTACAGATCATATTTTGAAATTCATTTCAATTTCTGTTTTATGATCTTGTCATGTTTTTAAGTCCTATCATATGGTATATATTTTTTATTTAAATTATGTAAGAATTTTTAATGTTCATTTTTATTTATATGTTTATTTTAACCTGTGCAAATGAAGAAAACTGTGATTTGTCAGCTTGTTTATTGATGACTGAAGCTGATATTTACACCTATCTCTGTGTATTTGTGTGTTTCAGCTCTCACAGCAGCAGCAGGAAGTGGTAGGCTGTCTGTCTGCAGGCTGTTGTTGGATCAGGGGGCTGCTGTTGAGCAAGGCAACCATCAGGGCGTGGCTCCGCTCTTCAGCGCAGTGAGACAGGGCCACTGGCAGGTAGAGTAGAACACGCACAAATAACAACCATGTTTTAGTCCAATTCGTGCTGCAAAAATGTCAAGCATCTGTCTCACTGTGTGTCCCTCGGTCAGGTGGCGGAGTTGTTACTGACTCATGGGGCAGAGATGAACATGGTCGACCAGCAGGGTCGAACAGCTCTCATGACGGCAGCCTCAGAGGGACATATGACCACCGCCAAGCTGCTGCTAGATCATGGTAACCACCCACCATACTATACATAAACAACAACAGTGGCTGCAACTATAGAATGAAACCCTTTTATTTTCATCCAAGAAATTAAAATTCAGTAAACATTATTCTCATGAAGGCAAGTTAGCCAAAAACTTTGGTGAGTAAAGTACAGCTATGGTGTACAGTTAAACTGATTCATGTTTTAATTTTAATGGGTTTGCACTGAAACTCATAGTGATCTGCACTGTACTGTGACTACATTCTCAAAAAGTCCAGATTTAACCATCTGAGTGTTATACAGTGGGTAATTCCACCGGTTCCCTTGTCAGTCCAGTTGGTTAGATTTTATTTGTTTGTGAAAGATATTATTTGAAACCATGATTTAAATTCTCTCTTTTGAGAAATTATTGTATAAATGTTCTAGTCTAATACTGATGTACTGAACCCTGAGGTGATTCTCACTCCCTCTCTGTTTCCAGGAGCCTCTCTGGAGCAGACTGACAGGGAGGGTCTAACGGCGCTGAGCTGGGCCTGTCTAAAAGGCCAGCTCCCATTGGTCAAAGAGCTGGTGGAGAGAGGTGCAGTCACAACTCATGCTGACCGCAGTGGACGCACACCTCTGGATCTGGCTGCCTTCTGCGGTGACCCAGAAGTGGTGTGTAAAACAGATGTTGTTACTGTATATATACTGTACATACTGCCATATTTTAGAAATAGTGTCCCCACTTTACCTGTCCTGAAGAGCCTATGGGTGACTGTGTAATGGGCTCATGTTCTAACCTGAATGGGCCTGTTGGTGTCATTTTCTGTGTTAGGTGCAATACCTGGTGGATCACGGTGCATTGGTAGAGCATGTGGACTGCAGCGGGATGCGTCCTCTGGATCGAGCAGTAGGCTGCAGAAATACTTCAGCAGTCATCGCTTTGCTCAGAAAGGGAGCCAAGATAGGTAGAATCATGACCCACTAATGCTGTTCTGTGTTATTTTGTTTTATTTAATAGTGACCGTAGCAAAACACAGAAAATGAGCTAGAGAGAGAATGACATGCTACAGTATGGTATCTGTCTTAACCACTAGGCCACCAGACACCCACATGATTCATATAGTTACAATATTAGTGAATCCACACCCTGACAGAGGCAGAAGCCTATAGCAAACTTAATACTTAGATTAAAGTCTTAATTAAGTAAAACCATGATGGTAGCATTATTAGTATTTACAAGTTGTAATGTGGGGGAAGCTCATATTACCTTATTAGCCCACTACTCTTATGCTTTCTTGTTGTGGGTTCTGGGGCATTTTTTTGGTCTAAAATCTCCACTGAGTGTCAAATAGTTTAGCCCTACATTTGAACTTCCAATAAGAATGAGTTTCACTTTCCCATGAAAGTCCCCCGTAGTCTGCTCTGATGAGCGATTCACTTTACAAACACCCTCTCCTTCCCCATGTGTTCCTAACGCCGATGACATCTCAAATGAATAACAGCTATCATGTTGACAGCAGTGCTGCAAGTTTTAAACTGACTTTGCCCTGACCTTAAATACCAGCAGCAGTTCTCTGTGCTGCAGTGATCATTGTGCAGTGGTGATCATGTACTGATGGTATTCATATGAGTTTCCATTCTCTCCTGACATATTTTGCATCCCTGAACAGGAACAACTACCTATTGTATGAGACCAAACATGTTTTTCTTCCCAGTGCAAATCCTAACTTCAACTCCTTGCTAAATACAAGCACAGTTTCACTGTTTAGTGCCAAAAAATTAAGTACAAAACCTTCCTGAATATCCCTTGGAGACTTTACATCCTTGCTATCAGCTGAGGGTGTACTTACAGTAGGCACAACAGCAGTAGTTTGCTGTTGTCATTATATTGCATGCACACAGTTAGTATAATATGATTGTTAATCATTTCTTAACTTAGTGCATTAGCATGCTAACATATACAGCTGCATGTTACATCCTATCACTAAACACATTACACAGCTGAGGCTGATGGGAATGTCATTAGTTTTGATCATAAACCAAAGTATGCGATAACTTAAAATTTGACCTGCTGGTAGTCGTGGGTAACAAGCCACCAAATGTTTGGAATTTTCCTCTGGGAACCATGTATATTTATGCAAAATGTCATGGCAGTGCATCCAATAGATGCTGAGATATTTCAATTTGGACCAAAGTGGTGGTCTGAATGACCATCCAGAGAGCACAGTCACTAGTATGGCTGAAAAGTAGTTTTAATATCTCACACACTCAGCACTCCAAGGATACAGTATATAATAGTATTAGGCACATAATAGTATTGGAAAATAGAAAATTCAATGTCCAAGACATCATGCATTATGCTATTTCCATGATTTTTTGGGAGTACTTTACCTGAGTCCTGTGCATTTGTGGGCTTTGCACCAAATTGAATTGTGCAAAACTTCAAGTGAGTCAGACGTACAACTGCTGAGTTACAGCCGTTTAAGTACCATGTTGTTGTGGTATCCGAGCATTCCATAAATGTGTATATGCCATAGCTGGTAGATTTAATATTTAGTTATTTTTGGACAGAGCTAAGCTAGCTGTTTCCCTATTTCCAGCCATTATGCTAAGCAAAGCAAGGCTACTGGTGCTAAATTGTTTACCTTATGAACATGTAGTAGTATCAGTCTTCTCTAATAACTCAGCAAGAAAGCAGATAAGTGTATTTCCAAAAAATGTGAAACAGTCACTTTAGAATTTGATAAGATTGGAGGAGTGGTGAAAAAACTGTTACGGTGGTATAAAATATTTCAAGAAAGAAATAGGCATGTCTTGCTCCACTTGTTACTTTCTGTCAAATATAACAAACATATTTTCAGTGAAAGGTTTAGAAAAATACTGCTAAGTAATAGATATGAACAGGCAAACAGAAGTGATTGCATACAGTGGTGTTTTTGATGGAGGTGATAAGACATTAGTATGATACTTGCTGCTGTCACAGAATGTGTGTGTGTGTGTGTGTGTGTGTGTGTGTAGGACCAGCAACCTGGGCCATGGCAACTTCCAAACCAGACATATTAATGGTTCTGCTAAGTAAAATGATCCAAGAGGGAGACCGATTATATAAGGTAACACACGTAAGAACTTGCAGACTTCATCACACACCAAACACACATACATTTAATGCTGTCTGTATGTGTGTGTGTGTGTGTGTGTGTGTAGCAAGGTAAAGTGAGGGAAGCTGCTCACTCCTATCAGTCAGCGCTCCAGAAGTTTCCAGGAGACGAGCTGAAGACATTCAAACAGCTGCGAGTGTGTGTGTTGCTCAACCTGTCACGCTGCCGCCGCAAGATGAACGTGAGTTTCTCCCTCTCACTCTCTCCTACACACATACACACAGGAGCTCGTCGGATAAAACGTATTACAAAACGATCTGTAATCCACGGTCTTAAGGTGACTGCTAATTTACTTGTACCCCAAGAAAGTTTTGTTCTCCATATTATTGTGCAATGAATCCCATCTCTTAAATTCATCTGTCTTCAGTCTTTACGTACCATCACATATTACGTTTTTCTTTGCAGGATTTTGGCCTTGCTGAGGAGTTTGCTACCAAGGCACTAGAACTAAAAGCCAAGTCCTATGAGGCCTTTTATGCCAGAGCCCGTGCCAAACGCAGCCGCAGGTGATTATACCGAAGTGGTTCAAGTGACTCTAACCAAATCCATTAACTCCTACACAAGTTTATCTTTTTCTAATCTGTTTTTGTGTTTATTAATTCAGTAGTTGAGTAATTTTTTTTCCCAATGTCCATTTGAAAATCATTAAGTTTTACACATATATAGATATCCACTATACCTGACTACTGTTATTTCCCCTACCCATGACTGCACATAAAAGGCGTCTGTTCCGTGTGGCGGTCTTCTCGCTCTCATACTGCGCACACAGCATGCAGGTAGCCTCAGCTGGCAACAACAACAACATTACCTAAGGCTATGTCTTAAAGTGGAAGGCCTGGCTTGAAACAACTGTCTTCGTTTTGTGAACAAAAGCTATTGTAGGTAACTTCTCTGTCATAGCTCACTAGCTTTAGCTATCAAAACAGAGCAGTAACACATCTGCCTGCAACTGCATCACCTTGTGGGGGACTCTTGGCTCACACAATGAGTGCACAGGCAGAGTCTGTGCAAGTAGGAAGTTAGGTTGACAGGCAGGTAGGCTATTCAATGGTTTTGCTTGTTTTGAGTAAAATTATTGGTCAGGCTGTTTTCAGCCCTGCTGCTGTCAGAGATGATGGATTTTTTTTATTTACAGGATCAGTGCATTTAATGTATTCATTGCCATCAGGATGAAAAGAGAGTTTCAAGATATATAACAAAAAATGCTTCTGAAAAGAATCACCAACCTTTACGTCTGGGTGTAGTTACTCTTGATTCACCACTTATGAAAACAGACAAATTACTTTAACCAGTTGTTAGAAGGTCCCTGGGGCTGAAGACTGGGTTGAGAGACAGTTTATCAAAAATTGAACTGAAGTGATTTAAAATTAATTCCTTTATTATTTTTATTGCCAGCAGACTATGGCCACAAATTTGCATTTACCATTTAAATCTACATTTATTATTGCATTATGTCACCTTCTGAGATCTGTCTGCTTTTACTCTGTCATCATTCAGACAGTTCCACGCAGCCCTGGAGGACCTGATTGAGGCCAGCCGCCTGTGTCCATCCAACAGGGAGATCCAGCGATTGCTTTCCCGAGTCAAGGAAGAGTGTCGACAATTTGTACAACAGCAAGACTCTCCCCCTGCTTCACCACACCATGTTTATCAACAGAATGCTGCTGTGTCCATTAGTGAGGCCAAGTGCAGAGATTCAGGTTGCCTACAGGTGCAGGACAGGGAGGGACTTACCGAGGAAGAGGAGGATGAAGAAAAGGAAGTGGAGGCAAGTCACAGAGACAGAGATCCTTCTCCTAACTCCTCCTCCTCCTTCCATCCTCCACATTTGGTTCAAAGTCTTGACACCCACTGCAGCCCCAGGGTGCCATCGCCCTCTTCCCTGTCCCCCACCCACCTGTATCGTAACCTCCCCAGCCCCATCCACTCCCCCTCCTCCTCTTCACCCTGTCACTCTGCACCTCCTGCTCCTTCCTCCTCCTATCAACATTTCAGCCCTCCTCCCTCCCCAATGTTACATCAGCAGCAAGCCAGCCCAGTGTCAGACATTATGCCTGCACTGTCAGGGACTGGAGGCCTCCACCACTATCCACAGTCCATCTCAGCCCTCCACCACTCGGACCAGAAACAGGGAGTGCAGCAGCAGCACCACCAGAGATCCTTCCAGAAGCATAGCTCTGTCCAAGGCCAGTGGCTCCAACCAGCTAAAGTCCAGCCAATCAGAACCAGTCATTCCAGTTCCTCATCCCATTCCAGCATGGTTTTGGGAAGTTCTGCTTACTCTCAGTTTGCTCAGCTGTCCCAAGAACTGGCCGAAATGGGGGAAGGTATTTGCCCCCGTCCCCTAGATGTCAGGCCTAGCCTGCAGGTCCAGGCTGATCTGAATTATGAAGCATCATATCCACTAGATAATGTGGATGTTGACTTGGTTCGTCAGTTGAGACCAGCATCTGCCTATGGGAGAGGAGCAGGAGGAGACAGAGCAGCGATAAATCGATTTGCCCAGGCTCGTCAGTTCAGCCGCAACCAATCCAAAGCAGCTTACTACCCAATGGAAGTTACAGAGGCTACTATGGGACAGCCTGATAGCTTTCCATCATCACACAGTCATCAATACCACCACCGGGGTGGGCTACGACACCCACCCAGTAGCCACCCAACCTCTTCCTCCGCCCCCCCCTCTAGGCCTCTCATCCAAAGTGTCAATGTTCGTTTCTCCACCAGCAGTGGCAGGCCTGCCTGTGGGG